ACGAGTGTTGATTTTCCGGCTCAAATGGAACAAGAATTTATTGTATCTAACATGTGTTGCTTGGAATGGGAAATAAAATTCTAATATTCATAATGTTATGGTACACACAGCCAAAAGAATAATATAGTAATGGTTTCTGAATCTATTAAACAAAGAATGTAAATGTTGTAGTAGATCTCTCTGGCTGCATCCCATATCTCTTTTCATGCCATAATAAATGAAGTTCTCTTTTATGTCATTGGTCGTAGAATTAATTAACCAAAGCATCACCATACTGTTTTCGAGTTTTTAGGTTCAATGTCCTGGATCATCTTCCTTCGGTTGAGCAGTGATGTCCGTAAGGTATTTTTCTTTGCCTTTCCCATAGATGAATAATCGGACAGACTGTGCTCATTGAACAAAATCCTGCCCATTGAGTTTATGACCGGTTATGGGAAGAATGATGCCTTTTGTGATGCTGGTATTGTCAGAGTGGGCTGCTTCAGGTCTGGAGGTTACCTTCAAGATTGAACCTTTTGTTCTGCTCACCATGAGTAAAAAAAAGTTTCTTCTTTTTTGTTTTTTTTCGACGGTTAAGATCTATAACTCTAATACTATGTAGAAATATTGTTTATTTCTTGTATATATTTAGGATACGGAATGAGAGTACATATACAAGTTAAATGCCTAAATTGTAGTCGCATGATATGCAGTCAATATCTCTAGGTATCAAAGAAGGAAACAACAACTAATTAAGAGATATTCTCTCTTCCTTAAAATTGAAAACCGATCCTAGTTAAATTCCACTAATCTTAGCATTTAATCATAATCCCATATTTCCACGGTGAGCATGTATATGGTACATATTAGGACGCCGTTAAGTTTTTCCGTGATAAAATATCCGTCAATCTTAATGTATTTGGTCTAGTTACCAGATTGTGACCGATATTTATGACTTATTTGTTGTCTAGTATAGACGCATATGATTTTTTCACTTGATTTTAAGATCTTTCAGGATTCTTTTTCTCTATAATCATTAACTATACCCTTTGTATTATTTTTCAAAACTCTAATTCCGCACTTGATCTTGCAACTAAATTTGTTTCTTACTTCTTTAGGTGATGAGGTTGGCTCCAAGGAAGGTCAAGTAGCCTGTAGTAGATTTTTTTTGTCCAACTGACCCTGTATAATATGCATATATATATAGGCTTTTATGAGCAATTTCTCATTTTTCTTGAACATAAGTTCTTTCCCTGGTGATCCTTATAAGTATTGTAGTACTATATGGGCTGCTTGTAGTTGCACTTTTTTTGGATTGTGCATGAATTCACTTATAACACTTGCTACATAGATGATGTCTGGTCTTGTTTGGGATAGGTAGATTAATCTGTCAACTAATATCTGATATATTTTCTTGTTTATTGACATATCTTCCTCTGCTATTACTAGTCTGTGATTAGAATCGATGAGAGTGCTAACTGGTTTACATGCTGGTCTGCTAGTGTCTTTTAGTCAATCATGAATGTTTTTCTGTTGAGGAATAGAAATTTTAGATTGGAGTAAACAATTCCCAAAAACTATTTCAACTTGTCTAGTTTTTTTATTTGAATTCTTCTGTTAGACATTGTTTGTGTTCGTTGTTCTTTCGTGTCATTTCCTCCAGTTATAATGTCATCAACGTTTATTAGAATGACTATAATTCTTCTTGTCTCTAAGTGTTTGATGAAAAGAGTGTGGTATTCTAAAGACTGCTTAAATCCTATATTTGTCATCACCCGTGCAAACCTACCAAACTATGCTGTTAGTGATTGCTTAAGTTCATACAAAGCTTTCTTAAGTTTACATACCTTATTTGGTTTTACTTTTCTATCAAAGCTTGGTGGAATATGCATGTAGATTCTTCTTTTAAATCTCCATGTAAGAAGACATTTCACATTAAACTATTCTAATTGCTAGTCAGAAGGACAGCTAATGACAACAAAATTCTCACAGTATTCATCTTAGTTATTGGTGTTAATGTCTCTAGATAGTTTATTCCATATACATGTGTACAAATTTTTGGCCCCAATCTCGCTTTATTAAAATCTCTCGATTGTGCCATCTGCTTTATATTAGATTGAGAAAATCCATTTACTTCCTACTGATTTTTTGCCTTTTGATAG